ACTTAAAGTCAAAAGGTATGCATCTGACATTTACATAATCAGAACACCCGACACCCCCACCAACACTGTACAACTACCCAGAATTCTTCAGACCCCCATCAACACTTAACGACTTTCTGCTGGGCAAAACCTGCTGTTACTGTCATTTAGACTTATATACCTGACACCTTGCCATTTGGTTTTTTTCTTTTTTGTTCGTGAGATGGAGTCTTACTGTACTGTTGGCGCAGGCTGGAGTGCAGTGACACGATCAACTCATTGCAACTTCTACCTCCCAGGTTTAAGCAATTCTCCTGTCTCAGCCTCTCGAGTAGCTGGGATTACAGGTGTGTGCCACCATCCGTGGCTAATTTTCATATTTTTAGTAGAGATGGAGTTTTGCCATGTTGCCAGGCTGGTCTCGAACTCCTGACCTCAGGTGATCTGCCCACCTTGGCCTCCCAAAGTGCTAGGATTACAGGCATGAGCCACCACGCCCAGGCTTTTTTTTTTTCTTTTTTATTATTTTTATAAAGATGGAGTCTTACCACGTTGCCCATGGCTGGACTCAAGCTCCCGGGCTCAAGCGATCCCCTTGCCTTGGCCTCCCAAAGTGCTGAGATTACAGGTGCCCACCACCATGCCCACCTGGCTTTCTTTTTTAATGAATTGCTTCTTTGTGTCCTCTGGCCATTTTTCCATTCTGAAATAATCCCTATATTTCTTACTGATATATAAGAGCTCTTTATACACACACGCGCAGATATACATACATTAAAATTATCAATCTCTTGCTATACAGGCTGTCAGCTTTCTTACTTTTTTTGAGTTTCACATATTATGGAATAGTCATAATTTTCTTTTATACAGCAGTCTGGTTTCCACATCAGTTCATCTCTTTCAGATCACTGTATACACTTAACAATGTTGAAGTGTTGATCAGTCCCATTGATTCTCATTCCTTGGCACTCCCCATGAGCCTTGCACCTTTCGGCTGGCTTCTCTCCATCTCCTCTCCCACAAGGGGTCCACCGTAGGACTGTATATTCTAGACTACAGTGTGGGTGCCAGGAGGGCAGAGACTCTTCTTATCACTCGTGCATCCCCAAGAGTACCCAATGTAGTACATATTTGCTGGATGAATAAACAACTAGAACCACCTCCTTACCGATCTCTCTGCTCCTGTAAAATACTCTCTACACCCTAGCAAACAGATAGAACTTTTTTCCTCTTTTTTTTTTTTTTTTTCCCTGAGACAGGTCTCCCTCTGTTGCCCAGGCTGGTGTGCAGTGGCGTGACCATAGCTCACTGCAGCTCTGAACTCCTGGGCTTAGGCGATCCTCCCACCTCACTCTCCCAAGTAGCTGGGACCACAGGTGCACGTCACCACACTTTGCTAACAGACTGATCTGTTAAAGATATAAATCGAATTATGCTTCCCAGCACACTTTAGACTAAACTCTAAACTCCGTATTAAGGCCCACCAGGTCCCTGGTATACCGCTTTCCAACCATCCACCTACCCTCTGCTTCAGGAACACAGGCCTTCTCTGTTTCTCAGCAGTGTCTACCGGGGCTGGATGAAGGCTGGCTCCTGGTCACTCAGGACTCAGCAACATCACCTCCTGCGTAGGCCAGCTGATGACTCTAACATTGGACGGTTGCCCTCTTTGCTCTCTAAACCACTCTACACCCTCCTCGCTGGTCTCCTTCTTTGTCTTTCACGCCCTCTGAAAGTCCTGTTGATATGCTAATTTATACCAACTCTCAAAAGAAAGGAAGCGTGAGGAGGGTAGGGACCTTGACAGTTCTCGGCTAGGTCGCGGGGCCTGGGGCGTGAAGGGGTGGGGAAAGCTGGGCCCTGCAAGGCGCTCCGAAGCGCCGCCCCGCTCCCTCCCGGCGCACCTGGGCCTCGGCGCTCCGGCGCTCCTCCCAATCGCGGCAGCTGGCCAGGTCGCGCCGCCACTGTTCGCAGACCGGCCGCTCGCCGTGGACGTAGTAGTGGTGCAGGAAGTGCCTGGCGCTGCGGCAGAGCTTCCACTCGGCGCGGTAGGCCTCGCAGGGGCGCGGCGGCTGCGGCGAGAGGCGACGCCTGAGTGGGGCCCGGCGGCCGCGCCCCACGCCCGGAGCCTGTCCCGTTCCCTCCCTCCGGAAGACCCTGGTGGTTCCCGGCTCCCGAGCACACTCACCTGCCAGCCGTTGCCGTCCGCCATGTCTGGGCGACCGGGGCGCCAAGCCCGCCCCTCAGTCCGCCAGCCAATGAAGAATGAAGAAAGCGGCACCTCGTGATCGACTGACAGAATAACTAATAAGCACCGACACATTCAATTACAGTTTCGCCCCCGTCTTAGAGAAGCTCGGACAAACAGGACGAGCAACCAATAGCAACCGAGGGCGGCTGCGGCGCGCGGAGGGCCAGGGTCGCAGGGTAAGTCCGGGACGAGGCCTGGCGCGGAGCCTACTCGGCCACCGCGAAGCCAGCGCCATTCACCCTGGGCCATGAGGGCATCCTGGGCCGCGCAGCTACCTTTTGTCAGTCGCCTCTAAAATCACACTGCTCTGGCCATTCTTTTTAGCAGCTTTATGAGATTTTCTCAAATCTCAACAATGCGGTTTATTTTCAAAAGTATGTACTGAGCATCAAGTTGGTGCAGCGAACCTCCCAGATCTGCAGCTCTGGCAGTCTTGTCTGAGCGTCCACTCAGGATGGAGGTGAACTCGCAAAGTAACCGAGGTTGGTTGGGCATGACGTGTGGTGGATCTAGGGTTGGATGACCTGCCCAGGGAACGCAGGCTTGAAGTGGAGGCTGAGAAGGCAATCCGAGCACGGCCATAGGCCGGTCAAAGGCATGGAGGCGGTGTGTAGCACGGGTGAGTGGGGTAGGAGTGGCTTGGATGTCTGTAGCTCGATTCTAAGGGTGCGGGAGACATGTAACATTTACCTTATTTATTTTTCGAGACAGGGTCTTGCTGTGTCACCCAGGCTTACGTGCGACCTCGAACTCCAGGACTTTGAACAGCTGGGACCACAAGCATGCACCGCCTTACCAGGCTAATTTTTAGTTTTTTGGTTTTTTTTTTTTTTTGGTAAAGATGTGGTCTTGCTAAGTTACTCAGGCTAGTTTGGCCTCAAGCGATCCTCTCACTTTGGCCTCCCAAAGTGCTAGGATTATAGGCTGAGCGACAACGCCTGGCTGCAACGTTTATAAAAAGGAGCAATGCACAAGAGGCAACAAAGGCAAGTAAAGGGGAAGCTGGTGGGCTTGCAGAAGTGCCCACTGGGACAGACTCCCTGGAGGTGGGTCAGAAAGCTGCAGTTTTACCAGGGGTCCTGCTGTTGAGGCAGCTGGCTCAAGGACCAAGCCCAAAGAAGACACTGGGAGGAAGGCTGCAGGCCAGGGTGCAGGAGTAACGACCAGAATCAGTGCTCCAACTGGCCCCACTAAAAGGCCCTGGAATGGAATCCATCCTGATCCAGGCAGGGGAGTGTGCCTCCAGCAAAGGACCAGGCATTTCACTGCATACACAGCAGGTGTTACTTAGTGAAGACAAAACCCCAGAGCCAGAGGTACTGCAACATTCTTGATTATGCATAAAGTGACAATTTGTTAGCTGATGTGATCCTGCAAATGAAAGCTGCTACCCACCAAGGAGGGTTTCTCCCTCTGCTAGTAAAACTGAGACTTTGTCAGTGGAGGGTCAGGTAAGTCCCCACAGTGCTCACGCCTTCCAAAACCACGCCTAGTTCCAGTGATGATGGTTTGTGCCACAGGCCAAGTACTGAACATCATGACACTCATAGACACTCTTCACTGAAGACATGTGGATAGACCCTGGGGCCACCATCCTCTCCTCTCTGGAGTGTTGGAGGGGCCCTGAACAGGGCAGGATCCCCATGCCTAGAAGCAGGGTCAGCCCTGGCTCATGGGGGACCCCGCTGGGCTTAGCCATTGCCACCTAGGAATCAGGCAGCCTTGTTTCTTCCTACTTTCTCCAGGAGAAGCCCCAGATGGGAAGTTTTCTAATGGTGAGATGGAACACGGGGCATCTGCCAACAGGACTTCCTTCAGTTCTGGTCAGAGGCCCAACCGCCAGTCTGTGTTAGTACCTAATCAAACATTTAGATTTAGGCTTTAGTTATTGCCTGTTTTTACTTGAAATTCTTGGCTTAGAATTATTCCCAATGGGGCCAGGCACAGTGGCTCATGGGAACAAATTTTAAATAATCAGATTAGCATGTCAGAAGATCTCACGTTACAGAAAGTGAAGACCTAAGACCAAATAAATACTGATAAAAAAATAAAGACAGGCCAGCAGAAGCTTGGATGATTTAATAAATTAAAATTAGGAGTGGGGGAGTAGGGAAGAAGGAAAGAGAGAAACATCTCTTTAGCATTTGTTCATTCCAACATTCACGTTTGCTTCTCCATGGAGTTGTTTCACTATGAACAGGTTCACTAAGGAGCCAGTTATGTCCATATGAAATGAGAATAAAAGTGTAAACTCATTCAGATCAGGTTTTTCTGAGTGATGTTTTTGAAAAAAATATGGAAAATAAAAATAGAAACATTCTTTGTCAAATACTTAAATTGCAGCCACAGTAGTGGGACAGCCACTATTTATAGAACACACGTCTATTTAAACCCTTTATTTAGGCCAAAGACTGACACCTATGCAACTGACCTAGGAAAAGAAAGGATAAATGAAAAAGAAAGAACACTTCATGTTAGACAATTTAGTCACCTCCATTGGTTTTGACAGAATTAGGGATACAGAATTGCTCCTGCTGAGGCAGTGGGAGCCCCCCTCAAGCTGAAAGCATGAAGAGGTGAGGCAGCAGCTGCCTACAGGCCCTCAGGGACAGCTCTTTGTCTTTCCCCAAATCAAGCATACAACTACAAAGTCCTGCTGCTCCACTTCAAGTAAAACTTGATAATTCTTAGGTAACTCTAAGCAAATCTTAAGTAACAGAGTATTCTGATGAGGCTCATCCCTGTCAGTGCCAGTAACTGAAAGCCAAGATGTTGCAATTTATTCTTTTATTATTTTCCAGTCAGCCAACAGTCCTCACTTAGGGCTTTCTTCCCTTCTTACGCAACGACTGTCCTTCTCCAGAGAAAGCGACGAATCTGCCTCCAGCTTCATCCTAGGTGTGAAGAGAAGATACTATTTTCAGAAACTCCCTGGAGATTTACAATAAACGCCTTACTCTATAGACTCACGTACCATCCATATTACTCATAAGAAATGTCTCAGGCTGGACACAATAGCTGACACCTGTAATCCCAGCACTTTGGAAGGTAAAGGTGGGAGGAACGCTTGAGCCCAGGAGTTCAAGACCAGCCTGGGCAACATAGTGAGACCCCATCTCTACCAAAAAAAGCTTGGTGTGGTATGTGCCTATGGTCCTAGCTACTTGGGAGGCTGAGATGGGAGGATGGTTTGAGCCAAGGCCATAGTGAGCTATGATTGTGCCACTGCACTCCAGCCTGGATGGCAGGGCAACAGAGCAAGACCCTGCCTCAAAAAAAAAAAAAAAAAAAAATCTCTAAGTTCATCACCCAAAAACTTCAGGTCACTTTTCTGTACATGCTTGAAGAACTGTTTTCCCACTTAATTCTGAAGTCTCATGCCAATAAACTTATCTAGTATACTCGCAAGGCTACAGAACTGAATTCTGTTAAAAAGAATTCCATTATGTAGGAGAGCCAGTTTTCTACCAGTGGACATTGCTGTGGTAAGCAGCTTAATGTATTTGCACACAGCTCTGATATTTTTTTAGAGCTCAAAGTCCTGGGTCAAAGCGTGTACACATTTTTAATGCTTTTAACTTATAGAGAACAACCAGCGCTCAGAAACATTCTACTAAGCTATCCTTCCATCAGCAGAAAGAGGGATTGTTTTTTCCCAAGCCTTTGAAAACTGCACATATTTTTTTTCACATATTTTTATTGCTAGTCAGTCTGAGGCATTACCTCAACTTTTCCCTAGGAAGAAGAGGATTCTGGAATGTTCAACACAAATCCCTGCACCTGGCTCCCCACTAACTGTAGCATGTTATACCTGCAGTAGAACACCATTTAGTATTTATGTGGTAATATTCATGTAAATTTGAGTCACGGCTGCATTTAGTCTTCCTTTGCCACACAGCCTTCCATTTATCCTGGTGTCGATAGCTGTGTTTGGCTTTTTTCTCTGCTTATATTCAATCACAGCCTGCATTGCATGGAGTTCATCTGTTTTGACAAAGCTGTGTCCTCCTGGGCCTTCACCCTGCCATACCTGGACTGGCCTTTCTCTAGGTGCCGTACGTGTTAGTGGGGGCTCCTTATTTCCTGGATTCTATGACTTTATTTCTACCTTATTCCTTCATTTTAGTGAGGGACACCTTCTAGGAGCTTCCTGAGAAAAGATGCATAAGGATTATCTTCTTGTGAGTTCCTTTTTTCTACTCTCATATTCCATTGATAGTCTGGTTGGTATGTTAGTCTACTAGGGCTGCCATATAAAATGCCAAAGACAGCGTGGCTCAAACAACAGAAATTTCTTGTTCATAGTTTTGGAGGCTAGAAGTGCAGGATCAAGGTGTCAGCAGGTTTGGTTTCCTCTGATGCCCTTTTCCTTGACTTGCAGATGGCCCCTTCTATGTCCAAATTTCTTTTTTTTTTTTGAGACGGGGTCTCACTTTGTTCCCCAGGCTGGAGTGCAGTGGCGCGATCTCGGCTTACTGCAAGCTCCGCCTCCCTGGTTCACGCCATTCTCCTGCCTCAGCCTCCCAGGCTCCCGCCACCACACCCGGCTAATTTTTTGTATTTTTAGTAGAGATGGGGTTTCACCATGTTAGCTAGGATGGTCTCGATCTCCTGACCTTGTGATCCACCCGCCTCGGCCTCCCAAAGTGCTGGGATTACAGGCGTGAGCCACAACACCCAGCCCAAATTTCCTCTTCTTAAAACGACACCAGATTGAATTAGGGCCAACTCTAAGGTCTTATAATTTAATTGCTTCTTTAAATGGCCCTATCTGAGTTACTGGGGGTCAGGGCTTCAACACAGAAACACTGGAGGGACACAATCCAGCTCTTAAGAGTTGGTACAGAATTTTAGGTTGGAAAAAATTTCGGAATTTTGAGGATACTGCTCCACTATCTTCTAGTTTCCTCTGTGTCCTGCTAAGATGATGTCCCTTTTTTGGGAGACAGGGTCTTACTGTTACCCAGGCTGGAGTGCAGTGATGTGATCTCAGTTCACAGCAGCAGCCTGCACCTCCCAGGCTCAAGTGATGCTCCCAACTCAGCCTCGAAGTAGCTGGGACTACAGGTGCGTGCCGCCATGCTGGGCTAATTTTAAAATTTTCTGTAGAGACAGGGTCTCCCTATATTGCCCAGGCTGGTCTCAAACTCCTGGGCTCAAATGATCTTCCCGCCTCAGCCTCCCAAAGTGTTGGGATTACAGGCGTGAGCCATGGCGCTTGGCTGATGATGTCCTTGATCCATGGTGATACCTCTGTTCTCTCTCCAGAAACTTTAGGATCTTTCTTTGCCCCAAAGTGGGGCTATTTTGATTCCTTTTGCTGGAACTCAGTGGGCCCTTCAAATCTGCGAACTTGTGTCCATCTTTGGGGAAACTATTTCCCTGATGATTTCTGCTCCTTTGGTTTCTGTGGCTGTTCTTCCCACAAATCCTCTACTATTTAGATGTTGGACTGGGAAGCTTTCTGACTCTGGCCTTCACTTCAGAGGTAACAGTCTAGAGTGCTACTGGAGTCAGGCCTCCAGCCTTCTGGGGTGGGGGAGGGAGGATAATGCAGCTCTAACTGCTTAGTAACAGAGTTCTGTCATTAGTCCCTCATTTCTAGAGGTGCCTTTTGAGAATTCTACAGTCTACACACAATCTACACAGAACTGTTTCTAGGCTTTTTATGATCTGCTAAGGTACCCTGGGTTTTCAAAGCCTTGTAGTTGCCTCCTCTTCCACTGTCTTTCTTACCTCATGACCTTTAGCCACAGCCTTAGTGGGGCTGCAGGATGGAGTAGAGCTAAATGTATCTTCAATCCCATCTTTAAACATATACTTCTTAAATACATATTTATGGTCAAACAGGCCTGCTGTGCCCACCGGCCTACCCCGCCTTCTGTAAATTTGCAACAGTCAGGTCACAGTCAGCCTGGGGGATGTCCCATGCTGAGGTCTTAGGTCTGAGTCAGGCACTGGCTTTTAGTGAGAAAGGCAGCCTGTAGCTGGTGAAGCCTGGATGGTGCCTGAAGGAGGGGCTGGAGGGTGAGGTCTGATTGGCCACTATGTTTGCTCCTCTGGGCCTGAAAGGTCTCAATGCTGTTTCAACTTGAACATCAAGCCCAGAAGTGATTGTGAGTAGGACCAGATGTGCAAACTTCACAGTGGTCTCTGTCCCCAACCACCCCAAGTGCTAGAGAGAGTTCGGTAATCAGGATGGGCCAGGGATGGGTCCTATGTAGCAGCTGGCCCTGAATGGGTGACTCTACATCTGCCCTTGGCCCTACTCCTGGATCCTCAAGGGTCCAATCCTTTGAGAAAAGGAACCAGGAAAGCGATGGGTCTGAAGTGCTGGTGTTCTAGAAATCCTCATCACACAGAGGTGACTGCGTTCCACTTGCTGCTGGGTCTGGCCCACTCCCACAAAGTGCCCATGTCTATAGGATGCTCAGCCCTTGCCTTCCTCTGTCCCACCACCACCCTGCTCAGCTGGAAGGTACTCCCTATATTTGAAGTTCAAGGTCTCTGTTGGAAGATGAAGCCCACCCAGGGCACACAGTTCTGTGATAACAGAGCCTGGAGTCAGCTCTAGAGCAAGACAGAGGTCCTGACCCCCATGCTGCAAGTCTTCTGTTTCACACACCTCACACCAGCACTACAGAAAAAAACAGGACACCAGGGAGCAGAGGGACCCCAGGAAAGGGAAAACATCACAGATACCCTGATGTGGTTTGGCTGTGTCCCCACCCAAATCTCATCTTGAATTCCCACGTGTTGTGGGAGGGACCCGGTGGGAGGGAACTGAGTTGGTGGAAGGTAACTGAGTCATGAGGGCGGGTCTTTTCCGTGCTGTTCTCGTGAGTGAATAAGTCTCATGAGATCTGATGGTTTTATAAGGAGGTGGTTCCCTGCGCCAGCTTTTTCTCCGCATGCTACCATCCATGTAAGATGTGACTTGCTCCTCCTTGCCTTCTGCCATGATTATGAGGCCTCCCCAGCCATGTGGAACTGTAAGTCCATTAAACCTCTTTCTTTTGTAAATTGCCCAGTCTCCGGTATGTCTTTACCAGCAGCTTGGAAACAAATACACACCCCTACTCAGAATGCCAGGAACCTCAGTCATCACTAGCAAATAAATCTCCTCATTACCAACCAAGGAAATACACTCACCTCTTCAACCTTTTTGACAAGGGGACGTGAATTTCTGATGAAAGTTATCTTACCAAGTTTAAATTCATAATTGGGAATTCCTCTGTAAGAAGAGAGAGACAAGGAGAAATGTTATTTCCAGGAAAAAAGGACTAAAATTCATTTATGACAGTGAAGAGGAACGCAGAAAAGATGCTGCTGCACCCCACCTGGGCCCTTTGGTGCTTCCTGGCATCCTCCCAGGAGGGAAGCAGAAGGTAACTGGCTTCCTGGTTTAGTATCAGCATTGGGTATAGGGCCAGGGGCTTTAGGCTCTGTACCTGTCTATGGAGAGGGGTCATCTGAAGGATTGGGAAGCCCTCACTGTCACTGTCCTGAGCTTCACAGAACCCCCTGAGGTGGCTAGACTCTCACTCCAGTATTCTCCCAATTTCACACAACCAACAGACAACTGACACACCTCAGCCCTGCCCCTGCCATCATGGCCACCAGAGGAAGGGTCTGCTGTGGGTCCCTGGACCCAGCAACAGAAGCACATCTGAGGTAGCTCCTCAGGGAACTTTCAGGAGAACTAAGATAATGTGACCTGATTAATAATTCAAAGTCACAAAACAGGAAAATAGGCAGATCACCAAATAGGGACCAGAAGGGTTTTGAATAAGAGACAGATCTGATCAGACGCACATCTTCGGAAAGCCACTGGGGGCAAGAAGACGCTGAATTGGAAGTATGGAGTGAGGCTGGACCACAGTGGTACTGGGGGTGGCACTGTGGAAGAAGGGACATGTTGTGCTCCACCCCACCAAGGAGAGCAGGTAAGGGTAAAGTCCCTTGGGCCTACTGACCCAGGCTTTGTCTCCAGAACTGGGGTGAGGCTGCCCCACCCCAGAGGGCTGGCACAGATCCTCCTCCTGTCCTGAAGGACAGCCAGGACAGACTTACCTTTTAATATCTCCAGGCTTGATTGGGGAGGGGCTGGGCTCCACCCCTTTCTTCTTCCCATCCAGTCTATTGCCAGAGCCGGAGAAAGCCTAGACAGGAAGTAGTTGAGTCATATAATGAGCCCAAGTGTGAGGACAGATATGTCCTTTGCTTGGAGATCACTGCAGGGATGTGAGCTGGGGTGCTGTGCAGACCCTTCAGGACCGAAGCCCTGACTCCTCAGCTGCTGGGGTGCTGGCAGCTGAGAACTCTGACCAGTTCCTCAGGGGGCGGCCATGAGCTGAACACAGCCACTTGGCCAAGGGCAGCCAGTAGTCAGTGTTAGGTTAAAAGGCCTGACCCCTGCCTCTGCAGGGCCACCCAGTTCAAGCTCTGTGGGTGGGCTAAGGCCACTGTTGTGACTGCCCCATAGCTCAGCTTCCCATCATTCTGCTGTCTCTGCTGCTTCCTGGCACCTCCTGCCACCTCAGTGCCCACACATGAGCCACCTCCACCTGTTTCCCACGGAGCCTTGGCAGTGGTTATGCTAAGGGTCATGTTTGCAACCCACATGGTACAGGCAAAGAAAAAAGGAAACATGATTTACAAGAGAGAGAAAGCAAATGTGGTAACGTTTGGTGAACCTAAGGGAAGAGTATATGTCTACTGTACTATTTAAACTCTTCGGTAGGTTAGAAATTCTTAAAAAGCTGGGCTGCCTTATGGGGCTGTTGGGAAGATTCCAGCAGAGAGTGGATATAAAAGTGTTTGGTAACTGAGCAAGTGGTAGATTTGCATGCATGTGCACAAGTACCCAGAGGCCCAGCCCCTGCTGATGTCCATCGAGCATCATGGAGAACAGCTTGAGTGAGTGCTCTAATTTCAAGGAGCAGGGGGCACAGCAACGTAAGTCAAGTGGTCTGGTACTCACGCGGAAGCCCAGCTCTCCAGCATAGCCACTGTGGTCGGCTTCACCTTCCTGACAGAGAAAAAGAAAAATAGGTGAGCTCCTCAGCGGGAACACCCAGCTTCCCTCTCATCCCCCACCCCCAGCCAGAATGTCCCCCGGAAGCATGGCTGGAAGGGACGCAGAGGATATGACACCAACACCAGCAGAGGCCACCCACGAGTCACTACCAGGAACTCAAAAGCAGCATGCAGCAGGACAGCGAAGGACACTGAGGATAACACTTACTGTCGACTCCTCATGCTGGACTTGTCTTTCGGGTTCTTTGTAGCCCAGGGGAGCATCAAAGTCCACCTGTGTTTCCAGGATTTTAAAAGTAAAATATTCAGACATGGCCACCCTTGGCTTCCTTATCTTTTTTGCTTTTAATTGAGACAACTATAGATTCACATGCAGTTTTAAGAAATAATACAGAAAGATGCCTTGTACACTTGCCCAGTTTTCCCAACGGTAGCATCTTACAAAATTACAGTAAAGTATTGCTGCCAAGATATTAACACTGGCACAACCCACCACTCTTATTCAGATTTCCCAGTTTTACATGTTTTTGTTTATGTGTATCTTTAGTTCTACACAATGTAATCACTGTGTAGGGCCATGTATCCACCACAGTCGAGATGAAGAACAGTTTCACCACCACTAGGATTGCCCATATTGTCTTTTTATAACCATACCCAGCTGTCTCCCAGCCCCCTCCACCAGTCCTAAGCCCTGGCAACCCCTAGTCTGTCTTCCATTTCTAAAGTTCTGTCACTTTAAGGATGCTATATAATGAAGTAACTTTTTGGGATTGGCCTTTTTTGCTCAGCAGTATTTCCTAGTAATACAACCAGGATGCTGTGTGCATCAGCACTTCATTCCTATTCAGAAGGTTCAGCACGCTTCCTTAGCTCTTAAGAATATTCACTCCTCGGCCAGGCATGGTGGCCCATATCTGTAATCTCAGCACTTTGGGAGGCCAAGGTGGGTGGATTACCTGAGGTGAGGAGTTTGAGACCAGCGTGGCCAACATGGTAAAACCTCGTCTCTACTAAAATACAAAACTAGCCGAGCATGGTGGCACATGCCTGTAATCCCAGCTGCTCGGGAGGCTGAGACAGGAGAATCGCTTGAATCTGGGAGGTGGAGGTTGTAACCAAGATCAGGCCCCTGCACTCCAGCCTGGGCAACAGGAGTGAAACAGTCTCAAAAAATAAATAAATAAATAAACAAAATTCACTCCTCAACAGGTCAGAGCTAACCATGGCAGCACTGGCAACACTCTTGCCTCAACTGGCCCTGAGATAGATGACAAGGTCACAGTCTCCTCATGATGTTCTGACAGCGTCTTCCTCCTCTTTGCCCAAAGAGTCCCAGGGGCTGTTTGATGCCCTCCTGACACCCTGGCCTGCAGTGGTCACCAAGTGCCCATCCTCCCAGGGCCCAGGCTCACTGTAACTGGACAGAGCCACTCACGTTCATGTCACACTCAATGATGGACACTGCCTTGTCAGGTTTGGTCTCCATCACACGCAGTTCGTAGATCTGTGGGGCAAACACAGAAATCAGTTGGATGGTTTCCTGGCAGTACTGAAGCTGTCGCTGTCCATGTTACTGTGGCTCTACCGGCTCCCGCGAATGACACAGCATTCACGCCCACGACACAACCTACAGCTGCACTTCTTGCTGTGACAACACTACCATAAGGGACAGGCTGCCCTGTGCCCATCGCAGAAGAGATGCTGTTCCCCAGATGTGGTTCAAATTAGACAAGGTAGTTATACAGCTAACTGCAAAAGACACTAACAATCTCTAACTCAGAAAGTTCACTTCTGGAACTTTACTATTTATTTTATTTATTTTTAGACAGAGTCTTGCCCTATTGCCCAGGCTGGAGTGCAGTGGTGTGATCTCGGCTCACTGGAACCCCCGCCTCCTGGCTTCAAGCACTTCTCCTGCCTCAGCCTCCCTAGTAGCTGGGACTATAGGCATGCGCCACCACACGTGGCTAATTTGTGTATTGTTGTAGAGACGGGGTTTCACCATGTTGACCAGGCTGGTCTTGAACTCCTGACCTCGGGTGATCTGCCCACCTCGGCCACCCAAAGAGCTGGGATTACAGACGTGAGCCACCGCACTTGGCCTTCAAAATTTATTCTAAGTAAATAACTAGCTATTCCCAATGAGAACATTCTAAGAAGGCTCATACCAATGTCACTAATGCCACTGTACAGATGCGCCTTGACTTACGATGGAACCGAGTCCCATAAACTTATCATAAGTTAAAAATGTATTAATACTCCTAACCTACCAAACATCATAGTGCAGCCTGCCTTAACCATTCTCAGAACACATACGTTAGCCTAGAGTTGGGCAAAATCATCTAATATAAAGCTTATTTTATAATCAAATGTTGAATAACTCATGTAATTTATTGAATACTGTACTGAAGATAAAAAACAATGGTTTTATAAATATTCAAAGTATGGTTTTTACTGAATGTGTATCATGTTTGAATCATCACAAAGTTGAAAAATTCTAGGTAGAACCATGGTCAGGGACTGTCTGTATACTCAAAATGCAGCTGAATTATATTTGTTCATATATAAATTCATAGTTATACAACGGTATGCTATGCAGCCAACAGGAAAAGAATTTTAAAACCAGTCATGTTGCTTGTGTCTAAGATGACCTCGCGAATGTAAAAAATGCACATGAAAAATGTCCAGAAGCAGGGCTGTGCATATTGGCTCACACCTGTAATCCCAGCACTTTGGGAGGCTGAGGCAGGCGGATCACGAGGTCAGGCGAATGAGACCATCCTGGCTAACATGGTGAAACCCCGTCTCTACTAAAAAATACAAAAACTTAGCTAGGAGTGGTGGCAGGCTCCTGTAGTCCCAGGAGGCTGAGGCAGGAGAATGGTGTGAACCCGGGAGGTGGAGCTTGCAGTAAGCCGAGATCGCACCACTGCATTCCAGCCTGGGCAATAGAGTGAGACTCCATCTCAAAAAAAAAAAAAAAAAAAAACACTTCCAGAAGCACAGAAATTAAAAGTGGCCCTATCTACTTTTTCGTGCATCATTTCAGGTTCTTTGCTTTTATCTAAAGTCTGTCTTGCTTTTATTTTTTTGAGATGGAGTCTCGCTCTGCCACCCAAGCTAGAGTGTAATGGTGTGGTCTCAATTCACTGCAACCTTCGCCTCCCAGGTTCAAGTGATTCTCTTGCCTCAGCCTCCCAAGTAACTGGGACTACAGATGCATGCCACCACACCTGGCTAATTTTTGTATTTTTAGTAGAGACGGGGTTTCACTATGTTGGCCAGGCTGCCCTTGAACTCCTGACCTTGTGATTCACCCCCCTCGGCCTCCCAAAGTGCTGGGATTACAGGCGTGAGCCACCGCGCCTGGCCAGTATGTCTTGCTTTTACAATCATTTAAGAAAGTCTGGATAGTCCCACCATTTAAAAAAAAAAAACCTAAGCAGGGCCAAATCTACTTTTAAAAGTGTCATAATTATTGAATAAACAAGGAATAAAAAGGATCTGTCATTGTGTGGATATACTACCATTTATCCACTGAGCATCCGGCCTGTTTCCAATCATTTTGCGATGTTAATGACACTACTATAAACATTCAAACATGTCTCCTAGGGCTTGGCTCAAGCTTCTCTACCGTTTTTATGTGTTCAAATTGCAGGCCACAACCAATCAGTGGGTCATAAAACCAATAGGGCTGCAAGCAGAACTGAAAAGGAAAGAATTGGAGGACAGTACCCTAGAAGTACCAGAATATATTGCATTTAGTAAGGATAAATATTCCTGTGACTTTTCCATTTACTTTTATGTATTGGCATAATATTAAACACTGTTTTTTTTTTTTTTTTTAAATTGGCATAATATTAAACACTGTTTTTTTTTTTTTTTTTAAACTATGGGACCACTTTTCTAGGTTTGTACTTCTCAAACTACCTGGGAAGACCTAGTTTTTAAAAATGTGCAGTCTGCTGGACTGCCACGTGGTCCTCTTGCACAGAAGCAAGACACCACACACACCAGATGCCCAGAGTTCACCAGGACAAGGACCGGTTCTGTGGCCATCTGTGTGGAGGTTACGACAATGCCAAATTGCTATACGTTTCTAAACATTCACTTTTGACTCCTGCTTCCCCCAGGCCCTGGCAACCACCATTTTCTTTTTTTTTTTTTTTTTTTCTTGAGGCAGGGTCTTGCTGTGTCCCCCAGGCTGGAGTGCAGTGCCATGACCCTGGCTCACTGCAGACTTAACTGATCCTCCCGCCTCAGCCTCCTGAATAGCTGTAACTATAGGCACATGCCACCACACCCAGCTAATTTTTAAAATTTTGCATTACTTTTTTGTAGTGACAGGATCTCACTATGTTACCCAGGCTACTCTCAAACTCTCAGGTTCAAACAATCCTCCGGCCTTTGCCTCCCAAAGTGCTGGGATGCCAGGTGTGAGCCATGGTGCCCAAGTGATTCTACTTTCTGTCTTCCATGAATTTGACTACTCTAAGTACCTCATGTAAGTGGAATTGTAGTATTTGTCTGTCTGCATCTGGTTTATTTCACTGAGCAGAATATTCATCCATGTGGTAGCATGTGTCAGAATTACCTTCCTTTTTAATGTTGAATAATATTACATTGTATGTGTATACCACATATTATTTACCCATTCATCTGCAATTTATTTTTTACTGTGGTGTGAGTTAGGAACTCAATTTGTTTTTTCATCTTAGGAATAGTCAATATCCTAGATTCCCCAACCCCAGTATCTCCTTTGCCTGGTGACATCAATGTTGCCTCAGTGGTGGACCAAGATTCTTTGTATATAAGGCTTTGTTCCACTGGCCTACTTGTCTACTGCAGAACCAACGCCATATGGCATCTTAACTACTGGAGCTTTATTACACTAAGCTGCCATATAGAATCTTCCTTATATATGACTAGATTCTTTTGTCAATATTTTATCTACAATCTATATATCTGTATCAAGTGACAATGATCTGTAATTTACCTTTCTCCTATCCTTGTGTGGTTTTGGTGATCAAGGTTATACCGACCTCAGAGAATGAACTGGGGAATATTTTCTTTCTCTATTTTCAGAATATCCAAGAGCAATTTATTTCTTGAGTGTGAGGAAGAACTTGCATATATAACCATCTGGGCCTGGGTTTCCTGGATTAAGATTTTTCTGACTGAATTACTTGACTGGCTATACAATTATTTAGGCTGTTTGTTTTTTTTCTTTAGTCAAACTTCAATTATACTTTCCTCTAGGAAATAATTTATCAATGTCACATAAGTTGGCTGATTTCTTAGTATAAAATTTTTCACAGTTGTTTTATCTTTCAAGGTATCTGCTTTATCTAAGTCATTTTATACCTTTTTAAACATTCAATATGTATGTAGACTTTTCAGGGTTTGCTTTTTTTTTGTTTGAGGCAAGGTCTCGCTTTATCACCTAGGCTGGAGTGCAGTGGCACGGTCACTGTTCACTGTACCTTCTGCCTCCCGGACTCAAGCGATCCTCCCACTTCAGCCTCCCGAGTAGCTGGGACTACAAGTGCATGCCACCATGCCCAGCGAATTTTTGTATTTTTTGTCGAGATGGAGTTTTGCCATGTTGCCCAGTCTGGTCTCAAACTCCTGGACTTAAGTGATCCACCCACCTCAGCCTGCCATATTGCTGGGATTACAGGTGTGAGCCACCACACCCAGCTTCAGCTATCTTTTTAAATTAACTTTATTGAATAGTAAGCAGAAAACTTCAATTCCAAACAACTCTCTCAACAGAGTGAGTCTAGGCTGGGCGTGGTGGCTCACGTCTATAATCCCAGCACTTTGGGAGGCTGAGGCAGATGGATCACCCGAGGTCAGGAGTTCAAGACCAGCCTGGCCAACATGGTGAAACCCCGTCTCTACTAAAAATACAAAATTAGCCACATGTGGTGGCACATGCCTGTAGTCCCAGCTACTTAGGAGGCTGAGATGAGACAGGAGAATCGCTTGAACTCGGAGGCGGTAGCTGAAGTGAACCAAGATTGCACCACTGCACTCTAGCCAGGGTGAGACAAAGAGAGACTCTGTCTCACAAAAAAGGAGAGTAAGTCTTTACTTACTCTTTTCCAACATTTTAGATGTCACTTTTTAAGCTTCGTATATTAAACATTATAACTGCTTTATATGGCAACATTTACCCTGGCTTCATATTTGCCAATTTATTTATTCCCTATTCCTTCTTGCTTTCCTTCTAGGATAATGCTTATTCCTAAAGTACATGCTTTTAAAATTCCATTGGTAAATAACCTCTCTTGGTTCATGTGAAAATATTTTTACTTTGCCCTTATTCTTTAAGGAAGGTTTTGATGATAGTTACTTGATACTGGCTGTAACTGTTGCTATGCAAAGACCTGCTACTTGCTGTTCTTCTGTAGATACTGTGTTTTCTCCCTGCTTAACTCTCTGTATTTGGTATTTTCTACCTGTAGCTTATTCTGTTTGTTATACATTATAAACTTCCTGTAGTGATGGGCTGACCACCAATTCTAAATCAATTTCAGTTATCATCTTTTCAGATTATTGCAATTCCTCCATTCTTTCCTACTAGGATTGCAACAGGCATGTTTTCTCAGTGTCTTCAACATCTCAAGCTCTCGTATATTCCATCCCCTTGCTCCTCTGTGTGAAATTCTGTTATTTATTCAGATTCATCATCATTAACTCTTTTATAGCTGTTGTTTAACGTTTTGTTTTTCAAATCTTTCTGGTTATTTTTGATAGCCTTTTGTTGCTTGCTATTATAATTCCATTTTTAAAAATATCTTTGAACATTTTATATTTAATTATTTTACATTTGTATCTAGAAATTCTAATGCTGATTTCCTTAGGGATCTAATTTTTATTGTCTCTGCTTTGGTTTGGTTTAATTATGCATTCTTGTTTGCTTGTTCAATTGACAGCAATCCCAAAGGCTTAACTAAACTGGAGTGCTTTTTCCAGAGAGGATCTGTGTTTATTTCTCCTGAGACAAGGACAACACCCACCTCTGTGTCTATTTTACTGCTTTTAAGGGTTCCAGTTCAACCCTGATCTCCGAGTCTGATCTCCCACCAGAGCACTGATACAGCTATCTGCCCTCAGGGCAACCCTGCTTAGAGTCTTTAAAATTCTCTATAAGCACAACAGTACATATCTAGTTTTCCCTACTTCTAAAAGTGGAAATTCAAACCTGTGTTTCAGTTTTACATATACTCTATATAATCTACCCTCCCTTACAGTGCAAAGTACCTGTGAGCCACCACAGGTGTCCTTTATCATCAGTTTATATATCCTTTATCATCAGTTTAGGAGTTATATTTAGTATTACTACCTTAACATTAAAAACAGTAACATTAAACTGCCTGCAATTAATTATAAAAGCTTAGAGTATTCAGTTAAGGTAAACGACACCTAAAATGTTTTCCACAAAGCTAAATGGAACAAGATTATTTCTTAGTTTATTAAAAGAAAAAAAGAAAGTGTGACTTGAAACCCACAAAACTGAAAAATAAGGTCAGATGCCTCAAATACAAGGAAACTGCCAGAGAATAAGCTGGATCCCTGCACTGACACCAAGGGAGTAACTGGCTGCAGCTGTGACACAGCTGTGACGGCCCAGTCCCTGAGGGGACCAGAGAGTGTTGTGAAGGAGCTAAGTACTAGCTTCAGGGAAAGCCCAGTCAAGCCAGGCTGTGGTCACTGCTGAACACTAAGGCTAGCCCTGGCAACAGCTCTCTGGGAGGGTCAATTGTCAACAGTCACAGTGAACAGGGGCACCCATAGTACTGTGCTCCATGCCTGTGGTAGGACAGCCTGATGGCAGGACTGCCAACTATTACATCCTCCCTCAGGCATGTTCCCATTGGTAATAGGAAAGTGAATGCCTTCTTGAATTTTGGAGTAAGTCCTGTCATTTCACTTTACAGTTAAATTGTCTAGATCCAGACACCTAAACAGCATAAAATCAGGGATGGAAACAGAGGCATTCAGACCTGAGAGACTTGTGGCAGAAAGGTCAAGCCTAGAGAAGCTGCGAAGTGAAAACCGAAGCTGAAGAAAACAGGAGGAGGTGGTGGAGGAGGATGTGGGCTCCCAGGAGGAGAGGTGAGCCTAGGAGGTGTTGCCCTAAGGCAGAGCCAGGCTCTGCTTCTCAGATGCCACAGAGCACTTGGCCCCACTGAAGGGCCTGTCAGCTTCTGTGGGGCAGGGATCCCAAGAACAAGGACCCAGCAGGGTTGTTACTGTGTCTCCACAGCCCCACAAAGGGCTTAGGTTAGATTAGAGGTGCAGTGGGGACCTTTCAAACCAAGATAGAACCAGTAGCCACCAAGGTACACAGAGCTATGACTAACAAGTCTATCAATATTCCCCTGTAAATGCAATCTATCCTCAAAACAGAGTTACCAAATGAATTAGGCCTCTAAATATGAACCCGGGAAAACTTAATAACCAAACAGTAGGCGGTAATTAGGTGATAAGATACAGGCATACCCCGCTTAAAAAGAAGCCCCATTCAAACATCAGAATGGACACTACAGGTGGCTCTTGTCAGGCATGACCTGCATGAACTGGGCTCACCTTTTCATTATAGTTGATGGCAATCACATCCCCGGTGGTCAGACAGGCAAAGTTCCTAAGTGCATTTTCTAATCTGCAGACACACTCTGTCAAGGCAACATGGCAAGATGGATACCTTAAATCTGAAACAAGTTTCCATGAGGGGTTAGATGATTACTAGTAGGCAGAGACTGTACCATAATGGTACTTGAAACACGAAGCTTTAACACAATGAAGTACTACTTGGCAATAAGAAGGATGGAACTCCTAACATGCAATAATATGGATCAATCTCACAAATGCCAAGCTGGGGGAAGGGGAAATAACCAACCACAAAAGGGCAGTGAGATTCCATCCACACAGAACCCTAAGAAAGACAGATCTATGAGGACAGGAGGTAGTTGAGAGGTTTCTGGGCCAGGGGATCAGGTGGGGACTGGCAGGAAAGGACCTTTTGGGAACATGGAAATGTTCTGGTTACATGGGTGTACACATTTTCAAACTGGCTGAACTGTGTGCATTTTATTGTGTACAAATTATACCATGGGATTTTAAAAAATCCTATGGGAGTACAAAAGAACAAAAAAGATTTAATGAGTCAGATAGGTCCTCTCAAAAGTTCCTCAAAATCAAAGATGCTTTCATTTATACTTTTGTTGTTTCTATCTTTTGAGCTGATAACTTTAGTTAATAAAAATTAAAGAAACCAGCAAATACTTTTTATAACAGTAAAAGACAGTAGAACCCAAATGCCCATACAAGGAAATGTCTATTCATGTGGAATATTTTAACCATGTCTTCTTCATCAATTTGCTGAATTACTTTACATAAAAAGGTCACAAGAAACGTGGCTCCAGAGCCTGTCACTGTGAGAGTCTAACTTGAGGGTGAAAGGGCGAGGCTATCTAGGTTCACCTCGTTCGGTCAAACAGCTTTCCAGAACCACAGCAACTTTGTGAAAAGTGCCTTGTGTGGTGAATGCTTTCTTTGCTCCCGCACATGAAGTGCAGCGGTACAGAGTGCCCTTCCCTCCACCCCTTCAGTGACCCTGCCAGGGCATCTTCTCTGACTTCCACTGCAGCAGCTGGAGGAGCAGAGCCACAGCCCTCAGGCTGAGAACACGAGGCCTCTGCAGGAGGGCTGGCTCCCCATTTGGCCTCTGCGTACTCTGGCGCCTGCTGCAGCACCAGCTTCCCACTTTCTCTGCTCAGCGCCAAGACTGCTTTCATCCAGACCTCAGCCAGACCAGAAAACACCAGGCTCTCAACTGATGGAAGTGACGCCCTTTCTCCACACACTAACAAGTTAACTGTGCTGACAAAAACAGCATCTGAGATCAACCTGATAAGAAGTCTGCATTGGGGCCGGGCGCACTGACTCATGCATGTAATCCCAGCATTTTGGGAGGCTGAGGCAGGTGGAGCACCTGAGGTCAGGAGTTCGAGACCAGCTTTGGGCAACATGGTGAAACTCCGACTCTACTAAAAATACAAAAATTAGCCAGGCGTGGTGGTGCATGCCTGTAATCCCAGCTACTCGGGAGGCTGAGGCAGGAGAATCACTTGAATCTGGGAGGCAGAGCTGAGATTGTGCCACTGCACTCCAACCTGAGCAACAGAGTGAGACGCTCTCTCAAAAAAAAAAAAAAAGAAATAAAGAATCTGCATTGCAACACATGTAAAAACCCTGAGAAAATGGGCAGGGCCCATTCCTGGTCACTGACAGCCAAACAAGCACCTCTAGGTCAGAGCTCTGAAGGACAAGTTAACCAGCTCTTCCCATAGGACATCCCTTTGCCTGTGGGACAGGAGGCTCAACAAGGCCATCGTGTCCAGGACATGGGCAACATGGGATATACGTGGCCCATATGCATCCAGAGCACAATCAGCAGTACCTTGCTCCTAAGAAAACATCTGGAGAGAGGGCTACTGGGAAGGGAGGCAGCTTTTCTTACCTTTCTGTCCGTGTTGTTCAACTGTTTGTTTTTTTCTCAAGTATGCATTTAAAAAATTTTAAAAAAAAAGAAGTAGAATGGAGTGGCCACTCTTATGCCATGATCTTAACAAGGCAAATTGGGGCCATGGAGCTAGAGATCTTGATCAGTGCACACAGCACCGTCCCGTACCTGCACTGCCTACTTCCTGATGCTGTCAACACATACACCTGGCTTAAGTTCAGAGGTGAACATAAAGAATCCACTAGAACCTGATACCTTTGCTTTCTGCTTGGTGACATAGAAATTGCAGTCATTGCTACCTATTGGCCTGGAGTGAATGAGCTCTCAGGCTGGCATGCAGTGAGGTTCATGGGCCAGTGCATGGCTGGGCAGAGGTACTAGGGAGCCACAGAAGGGGCTGGAGCTGAAGGCAGATGAGCTGCTCCCTCCTTCCACTGGACATACTGTACATCCTGGCTTTGTGCCAGGTGACACAGACCCACTGAAAGAAGGGCTTCATTATGGTCTCCAGGAAGTGTCTGGGAAGTGACAGAGGTGGCCCAGACAGCAACCAGTGCACTTGGCCAGGGTCACGCAGATGTGCTAGCTGAACCCCATTATTCTCAAATCACAACTTGAATCACAAATGTGTGATCCCCAAAGCAGACACAGATTAAATACAGTACATGATGTTTAACAACCGCCAGCACACTCTCCTTTGTCTAGAAGAATTCTGCTTATTTGAAAAGGATACACGGCTTTGGGGTTGGTGATGTCCAGGAAGTCAGGGCTCTGAGGCTGGAATTTGGAGTAGGTGGCCACTTGAAGGTTGACACTCTCCACCTGGACCAGGCCACCTTCTTCCAAGAGCAAGTTCTGCATCATCTGAAAGGAAGAAGAGGTTACATGAGACTCCTAGAGATGAAGTAGCCTCCACAACCACTGCTCCCTATACACTGGGCAGGCCAGTTTTACTTGGGTCCTTGGAAGAGGAACCTGAGGCAAGATAAGTAATTTGTGACACTATGTCAGGAAGGAAGAAAAAATCAAGTGATGTGGAAGAAGGCCAATAAGGGGGTGCTACTGAAGCTACACAGCTCACAGTGTGAACGCATCTCTGCAGGGCCGCCAGGATTGCTCACTAGCTCCAGGCTTCCCAGGGGCAGAGCATTTTCCTGGAACAGTCACTCACCGTACTTCCAAGCTGTCCCACAAGTAACTAGCAAGGCCCCGGGGCAAGTAGGGCTGCAACTGAGGTAGGACAAAAGCAGCACAAGGCAAGGCTGACCTGGCAATGGAATGGCCCACCACAGCTGAGGCTGCAAGATGGTGACAAGGCCCCAAAGGTCTCTGCTGTGGAGGTTATAAAAATCTGACAAAGCCTCCACATGCCTCTATTAAACAACCCAGCCAGGTAGACGACGGCTGAGGAGTGAGAGGGAAAGAGATAAACAGTGACCGTGAGTACTGGGTGTGCAGGGAGCCCAGACTCAGGTTAGAGGCTCTATATCTCTTGCAATGAAATTTTGTTTGTCTTATTTGAAACCATCTTAAAAGGAGCGTCAGACATATACACGAGTAGAAAGAGCCACACAAGAAAGCTCCCACGCACCCAGCCCTGACAGTTGGATAGTGCTCACGTCATGGCTCAGTCCATCGATCGGCACTACCTCACACCCAGTCCCAGGCCACACTAGATGCCCTGAAGCGAATCCCAGGTATCACATCCCTTTAAGAATGTTTCATCAAGAGTGGCAGTGAGAAGGTGACTTTAACAGCCAAGGGAAGAGGGGACTGAGGGCTGTGTCACAGATGAGAGGGAGCTCATGAGGAGGAGGAGGCATGCTGAGGCCAAGACTGTGCCTGGGAGGCTGTGCCTAGGCCACAAGAGAAGCCTGAGTGGTGGACCCTGTGGACAGGCGTGCAGAGGACCCCACGCACTCACGCTGACAGCTGCTTGTCAGGCTAGTAAGGGCAGAAATAGAGGGTGGTCACTCTACTGGATGCCACAGACAGGCACAGAAGGATGCAGAGGCAACTGGCTTTGGTAACTGGGGTTTGGAATCCCCAGGAGTGATGTTCTAACAGGAAGTACTCTAAGGCTCAGAGTCAGCCAGCCGCAGGCCAGGCGCACTGTCCCTCAGGGTAGATTTTTGTAGGAAGTATGTCAGCAACGGGAAGGACATTGGGCTGCAATCTCAAGCCTGAGGGAAGTCTGACCAGGGATGGGGGTGGCTTCCTCAGCCAGAGACAGGACACTGCCATAGGTGATGTGAGGCGGAGAGGCAGAGAAGTCAGACTAGGGCTTGAGGTGAGAAATGGGCTGCTGGAAGAGGCCCGAGAGCACTAAGCAGGCAGGAGGAGCTGACACCTGGCCCTCCCCATGTAGCATTTTAGAGCATACCGCACAATGGGTAGCCGAGTATCTGTGTGTCACAAGCAGCTAGTCCAGGGCTCAGATCTAGGTCGGCAGACAAAGCCTTGGCTGCAAGGAAAAAGGCCAGCACCTATTCCAGGCTGGCTCACCCTGAAGAAGCTTGGAAGCATGGGTGGGAAGGAGTCCACCAACCAGCCCAGAAAAAGCACTGGCTCACACGGCCTCCAAGACAGCAGATGGGGGACACCTGTCACGCCTGCCCATGCCAGGAGCTAGAAGGCCAGCTCAGGGGAAGAGGTGGCCTGATGGCTTCACACCCCAAACCAGCTCCAGGCTACCTAAAGAGGCTTTCCATGGGAGAAAGGGATTCAATTAGTTTCCTGGTCTAAAGCAGCCCAACAGCTTGGACAAGAGGCCACCCAAACTTCAAGTCTATGGGTTAAAGGAAAACCTTCGAGGTACAGTGTATTCCCAGCATCACCACCTCCTCTTATAGGTGAGCCACAGAAGGGACTGGGGAAGTAGTCACTGCCTGACACTTCAGCTACCGAGAGTGGCTTCAGTGACCAGGTGTTCTACCGGATGAGCAGAACATGGCCTCAGGCCCCTGGGGGCACCTGCAGACAAACACAAGAATAGCAAGGGGCTGAGCAGCAAATACTTGGGAGGGCAGGTGAGCCCATCTGGGCTTTGAGGCATAAAAGCCCCCCACAGGCCAGGGTGGGCAGACCTGGTCAGCTGAGGTGAGGAGGCAGCATGGGAAGGCCAGGCACTAGGAGGTGCAATGGGAATGCAGGGCTCTTGTGGGGGAGACACTGGCCAGGCCCAGACCTTGGGAAGGGCCCTGGGACCCAGGCTGAAGAGAATGCCACTGCCATGGCACCATAGGCAAGGTCACCTGCTACAGGAGGAAAGGGACCTTCAGAATTTCAATTCATATTATTCTTTTCTTTTTTTTTGAGATGGAGTCTCGCTCTGTCGCCCAGGCTGGAGTGCAATGGCGTGATCTCAGCTCACTGCAACCTAAGCCTTCCGGGTTCAAGCCATTCTCCTGCCTCAGTCTCCCAAGTAGCTAGGACTACAGGCATGTGCCACCACACCTGGCTAATCTTTGTATTTTTAGTAGAGACGGGGTTTCACCATGTTGGCCAGGCTAGTCTCAAACTCCTGACCTCAAGTGATCTGCCTGCCTCAGCCTTCCAAAGTGCTGGGATTAGAGGCGTGAGCCACCGTGCCTGGCCAGAATTTCAATTCATATTTAATCTCAGAAAATATTATTTAAGGCCATCCCTTCTGAACATCTGGTAGGGCATGACAGGGCATCAGGAGGAGAGGTGGGCTTCAGACCACCTCCCTGGTGGCAGCCAAGCAAGCACTCCTGAGAGTTCCCAGCCCACAGCTCACTGCGGGGTCTCTCAGTATGCCTGATGTAATTCAAGCACAAAGAGAAGGACAAGCAGGTCCCTTTGTGAACTTCCCTAATGTGCCAGAGCTGGGGAGAGGAGTGAGGAGAAGGAGCCAAGTGGGCCACAGCTACCTATGTAGAACTCCCACTGCTGCAGGCTCCTCCCTACAGCACTGGCATAGTTCTGCTCACTTCTCTGAGGGGTACAGCCTCGAGGGCAGGCTCTGGTGGCTCACACGCCCTGGATATCCCAGCCCAGATCTGCAATGACGTCCTTCAAGTCAACTTTCCAAAGAGAGCCTGCTTGTAAGGAGAAAGGCGTCATTCCTACAGCAGCTCAGTTGAGAGATTTGGGAGACTAAGTTAGAGGTAACTGAAAACACATACGCTGTGACAGACTACTAAAAGTAGGGGAAAGCATAAAAACCTCAAACACCCTACTTACTAGACCACCTAAAAAACACTGTTGCTCCATTATTTTTTAAAAAGCCTCATCCAGGAAATCACAGATGAACAGTTCAGCTGTTGTTTCTGGACAACCAGTTGTGCAACTATCAAAGACAAGGCTACTCCCACAGCACAGTGGCCCACAGGTACGTCCAGAGCCCACCAGCCTGCGTAAGGCACAGTGCGCTGCTCTGGATCCCTTCTCTCCCGCTGGGTCAGGTCAGGCTGAGATGCTGAGCAGGAGGAGTAGGCTGGGCCACCTGCTCCAGGGCCAGGACTCTCGAGTCCAGGGCATGTCTCTGCCTAAGTGGCTGCTCTCTAGAGACCCTAAGTGGCAGCCCCACTCACCCAGTGTGGGAGGTAGCAGATGCCCTCATCAGCCACAAACTCCAGCACGCCACAATGCGTCATGCGGTCCGAATTCTTATTGGTCAGTTTGAACAGCATGGGATAGGTAATATTAAGTCGGCCTGAAAAAAAGAGAGAGGCTATGAGGCACAACTCCTATGAAGGGAAACCTGTTCAGCCCATGCCTTCCTATAGAAGGAGCCTCCCCACAATCCTGCCCCTCAAACCCCACACTCCTCTGACAGATGAATCCCCTCTGTAAGAGCACAGTGCGTGGCTCAAGGAGGAGCCTGGCAACTTGGTAACACAGCACTGGCGTAGACTTGTGATTTTCTGAAGTCAACATTCTAAAAAGTGATGTGTTCGGCTGGGCGCAGTGGCTCAAGCCTGTAATCCCAGCACTTTGGGAGGCCGAGACGGGCGGATCACGAGGTCAGGAGATCGAGACCATCCTGGCTAACATGATGAAACCCCGTCTCTACTAAAAATACAAAAAACTAGCCGGGCGTGGTGGCGGGCACCTGTAGTCTCAGCTACTCGGGAGGCTGAGGCAGGAGAAAGCCGTGAACCCGGGAGGCGGAGCTTGCAGTGAGCTGAGATCCGGCCACCGCACTCAAGCCTGGGCCACAGAGCGAGACTCCGTTTCAAAAAAAAAAAAAAAGGTGACGTGTTCATTCACTTATTCATAAATAATGTCAGTGCCAACCATGTCCTGGACAAAATCCCTATCTTTAAAGGTTTCTAGTTTAAAGGTAAACCTTCCAACAAAGAAAACAACCACAACCAGATGCTACAGGTGCTGTGGGAAGGGCTGGCAGGAGGGGACAGAGCTATTGGGCTAGGCTCCTGGAGGCCGAGTTCTTTAGGCTGGGCACTGGGCGGGCAGACCTGGCAGGAAATCCAGGCAGAGATGGCAGCCTGAGCAAAGGCGGGGAAGGGAAGAGGAGCCCAGGCAGTTCAGAAATGGTGGGCAATTAGGCAAGACAGGCTGGGGACAGGTGTGGGAGTGGTTGGGAAGGGGAGGGGCACCACATGGGGTAGAACCTAGGGCCTGGGCCCAGCGGGCAGTGTGGGCTCTCAGCAGGGTCATGACATAGGACGCCTCCTCTCTCTGGTGGACCTTGAGGTGTGAGCTGAAAGCAGGGCCAGAGGCAAGTAAGCTGGATTGGTGATGTGCTGACCCAAGAGGTGCACAGACACATAAAGGAGGGGCTGGCAAAAAGAGGCAGGAACCCAGGAGACACAGGGCCCTGGGGGAGAGGACTGAGAAGGAACTGATGATAGTGATGGTGTTTGCCATGTGTAAGGCCCTTGTTCAGTCTTCCCAGAACAGTCAGTTAGATACTATCATTATGCCCTTTTATCTATGGGGAAACTGAGGCCCACAGGTTAAGTAACACGCCTAAGACCTCACAACACACAAGTGGTGATGCCAGGATTCAAACCCAGGCTGCTGGCTTAAGTCCAGGGATTCAACCATCAAAGCAGAATTTAGCTTGTTAGTTTAGGCAAATATTCCAACAAAAATCATAGTTAGTGTTAGGAGGTAAAGCAGATTCCATTTGAGATCTCCCTACAAATTCTAATAAAGCAAATCAAGTTGAAAGCTTGGGCAGGAAGCTACAGAGAACCTCTGGGCGCAGCATGGAGGTACAGTAGGGGAGGGCATTCCCTCCTATCACCAAGGGTGACTCTCACACTGGCAGTAAAGGGGCCAGGACCTCTGTCCCAGTGCATCTCTCAGCTGCAGAGCCATGGAGCTGACCTACAGCTGGTCCACAGGAAACTGGACTGGGCCCAGCCAAGGGTCTGAGACTGTTGCAAGTGAGAGAGACTCCAATGTCTCTCAGTGCACTGACTCTCAAACTGCATTTTGTGACTTAGAGGCTCCCAGTCCCTCTGTACCCCCTCACTTCCTCCAAAAAGAGCAGAGACCCTCATTTTATGAATTAGAGGACTTCCTATAAGATTTAGACAGAAAGAGTTTCTCCCATCACTTAAAAGATTTGAACAACACTGATCTGAGCTACACCTCAATGACCCAGCCCCTGAGTCTCTTCTGGACACCTGTGCCAAGGGTCACACCTGGTGTCTGACTCCTGGATCAGCATGACCTGAAAGGAAGACCTTTTTAGGGGGCCCGTTCTCTCCTCTGTAATGATGGGGTCTTCATGAGAACTGTGAACGCCATAGCTCTGTTGACCTACTGGTTGAGCTGAGGCCTCCACTGGGTATAGCCACAGCTGGTGCTGGCTCAGGGGCTACCTCCCACCTTGTGGTTGGAATCAGATAGCTCAGGGTATCATAGACACTATAGTACTTCTGATGCATAGACACTGTGGATGTCCCTAGTTAAAGAAGAGGGCATTGAGATTCAGAGAGGTCAAGTTGCTACTCTGGAGTCAGGCTGGGCAAAGAGCCCGAGGTGAGTCACAACACAGCCAGCACCTGTTCTCAGCCTGCTGCCACCAGAGGCCCCCAACACCAAGCATGAACCTGTCCTCCTAGCCAGCCCCAGTCTCCTGCCTCACACGGGAAGAATTCACACCAGAAACACTCTTAAGTCTGGAAGGCAATGACGGCATCATTGATTGGGTTGTCCATGATTGGGATTTTCTGGGCCTGTGTAGTATGGGGCTAGGGCATGGGTTTCCAGGGTGCTCTCATGGGATAAGGGGTCAGAGAAAAGGGAGGAAGAATGTGGCCACTCTTACAACCCCTGTGGGCCTATCTCACTCCTGGTAAGAGGCAGGAGCCCAGCAAGAGGAGTGGTTTCTGGAATGGAAGACAATAGCTCTGTTTTTGACATGCTGAGGATGCAGTGGTGCACTGGCGATTAGAAATGGGGGTCTGGGCAGGGCATGGTGGTTCACGCCTATAATCCCAGCACTTTGGGAGGCTGAGGCAGGCGGATCACCCGAGGTCAGGAGTTCGAGACCAGCCTGCCCAACATGGCAAAACCCCATCTCTACTAAAAATACAAAAAATTAGCTAGGCGTGGTGGCGGGTGCCTGTAATCCCAGCTACTCGGAAGGCTGAGGCAGGAGGATCACTTGAACCTGGGAGGCGGAGGTTGCAGTGAGCCGAGATTGCGCCAATGCACTCCAGTCTGGATGCTAAGAGCAAAACTCTGTCTCGAAAAAAAAGAAAAAAAGAAATGGGGGTCTGGAGCTCAGGAAAGATGCTTGGGGCGGGAATGAGGAACCTGCTTCACAGTGCCCTCTTGTGAGCTGACCAATTCTTCCTTTAGGAAAAAAAATCTAGTGAGCCCAGCCAATGGCATCAGCTGCCCTGGCACTGTGCAAAGCACCTGATACTTGTACCTTCATTTAATCCTGACAGAATACTGAGAAAAGTTGTGGGGGTAGGGGGAGTGGGGGGGGGGGTGATCAGGAAGGGGAAGGGAACTCCCTTCACAGAGGAGGGACCTGAAGCACCCAGGGCAGTGATGAAGCTGAGGTTCAGGGGGCCCTGGTCTTGCCCTAGGTACCTGTGACCCAGGTTCTCCCAGTCCAGCGCATGCCCCCCAGGGACAATTCACAGCTAGATACTGACAAAGGGCACTGGTGTCTGGATATACTGAGGAGCCCATGCTGACTCTTGGTGTCCATATTTACTAAGTTCTTAAGTCACTCAGAAGATACTTACTGAGTTGGTCCAGGGCTGAGGGTGGCATAATTACTGTGGAAAGAACATTTAAGAAATATTAAAAAATAAAAATAAAAAGAACACACCAAAGGCAAGATGCAGTTTCTTTATATCTAACAAAAAGCCTTAAACGGTTTTTAGGGTAGCCAGAATGTCATAGTGATCTTTCATAAAGAACCTTAGTTGATGTAATTTATTTTGGGAACTGAATGGTTATCAGCCATAAACCTAACCACAATTAGCACCCCACCGCAATAAAGCAAGTCTAGAATAAGCACCATTTTCACAGTAACACTAGCTTCTGACTCCCACATGCAAAGTAAGTACCGTTGAAGGCTACAGCATTGCAGACTTAGGGCAGGAAAGGTTACTATTCAAATAAAAACAAGCACATACTCTTCCCTCCTTTCTCCACATCTGACCTGTCATTAGGCCCTGCTAGCATGGACACAGAGAAGCAGCGGTACTGTGTGGAGAAGCGGTTTTGGAAAACCCTGGGAATCGGGTGGTCGAACATGTTGAAAGAGAACTAGAAGGAGGAAAGAGAAACAAGTATTAAAACAAAGGTACATTTCTTCATGTCAAAAGACAAAACATGTCAGAGTAATCAATGCTGCTAAACATTGTCAGAGAATACAATGTAGTGAAATATTCAATGTACTGAAATCTTCAATGTACTGAAATCTTCAATGTAATGTTACTAAATATAAAACAGGCCACGCCAAGCCTGTCCTGAACCTTTTTCAGGGCTGTGCTCCCATCTTCATCCTCAGGATCAAGGCCCAACCTCTTGCATACCTCAGAGACTTGTACTGACAGCCCCATAGACTCCTGCCTGGGCTAGTTCCTCTGCCTTGAACACTTTTCTTACTATCATTAATCTAAACAATATTTGTTAACTGAAACATCTCTTTATTGAGTGCCTACTGTCTGCCAGGCTCTGACATGAGCACAAGGGAAACACCACTCTAGTGATGTTTGTCCACTAACAAAATAGATACCACCCCTGTCCTGGTGAAAATGACACTCAAACCAAGGGAGATATACACTCAAAGCAAGGGACATGTGTGTCCGGCAGTTCTGAAGACAAGGAGCAGGGTAAGTAGACAGAGGGCTCCTGGGAATACTATTTTAAATAGGTAGTTAGGAAGGGACTCTGCACAAAGACCCGAATGCTATGAGAGAGAGCCAGGCAAAAAATAGGGAAAGACATTCCAGGCAGCAGGAGGAACAGGTACCCAGTGGTTGCACCCCTTCCCCTGGGTTCCAATTACCACCCTTTCCTTTCCCCAGGAAGCCTCTGCTGCTCTGCTGAGGGTCAGGGCCAGTGCCCCTTCAGTTGCTCTCACAGCAGAGTAGGTACACATCACACTATGTTGTGATGCTTTCTTATAGCAACAAGCAAAGCTAAAACATGATGCCATTAAAAAGGTTAAGATCCTAGTTCTTAAACTGTAGACTTAGATGAGGCTTAGCAAACATATCAATTTGAGGTTTTCTCAAAGTACAGTATTCCTCCCACCACCCCCCATATCCACAGGGGATACATTCCAACATCCCCAGTGGACACCTGAAACCAGAGGTAATATTGAAACCCATATATACTATGTTTTTTTCTTATATATATCTACAATTTTCTTATACATATCTGCAAAAAGTTTAATTTATAGGCTGGGCGTGGTGGCTCTCGCGTATAATCCCAGCACTTTGGGAGGCAGAGGCAGAAGGATTACCTGAGGTCAGGAGTTTGAGACAAGCCTGGCCAACATGGAAACCCCCTCTCTACAATAATACAAAAATTAGCCAGGCGTCGTGGTACACGCCTGTAATCCTAGCTACTCAGGAGGCTGAGGCAGAAGAATCACTTGAACCCAGGAGGCGGAGGTTGCAGTGAGCCGAGATAGTGCCACTGCACTCCAGCCTGGGCAACAGAGCAAGACTCCATCTCAAAAAGAAAAAAAAAAATTTTTAATTTATAAATTAGGCACAGTAAGAGATTCACAAGTAATAATAAAACAATTATAAGAATACACTGTAAAAAAAGTTAAGTGAATGTGGTCTCTATTTTAAAATTTTTGGACCATGGTTGACCTTGGGTAACTGAAACCACATAAAATCTCACAGTAGGCTGTATATTCAAAAGAACTGGAGGCAGAATCAAGAAGAGATTTTTGTGTACCCCATATTCATAGCACAATTATTCATAATAGCTAAAAGGTGGAAGCAACTCAAGTGTCCAATGACAGATGAATGAATAAACAAATACTGGTATGGTATATACATACAATGAAATATTATTCAGCTTTTAAAAGGAAAGAAATCCTGTCACATGAATGAACCTTGAGGATATTATGCCAAGTGAAATAAGTCAGTCATAAAAGGACTTATATTTTATGAGTCCACTTCTAGGAAGTACCTAGAGTAAGCAAATTCATGGAACAAAGTAGAATAGAGATTGACAGGGGCTGTGAGGAGTAGGAAATGGAGAATTACTGTTTAATATGAGTAGAGTTTCATTTTTGCAAGATGAAAAAGTTCAGAAAATCTTGCTAGTGAATGTATTCAACACTATAGTTCAATTGAACTATAGACTTAAAAATGTTTAAAATTTGGATTTTTTAACCACAACTTAAAAAAAAAATCTCTATTACAGAAAATTTCTTGACTTGATTCCAAATATATATTTAATAGAAGGAATGCCACCTACTGACAAAGGAGTTTACTAGTAACCCCAAAATTAGAAAGCTGAATTAGCCATTTCCTAAAATGCAAACATAGCATGTTCCCACCTAATTTCTTGGATGGTTCTTTACTCCCTGGCACTCCAGCACGGTAATATCCAATCTTTTGTCTTTCTTCTTTTAAGCAGCATAACTGTTCAACTAAATCTTCGCCAGAACCATAACACATGAAATATTTCCGGGTGAACACTACCAGAAAAGGGTAGGGGCTTGCCTCCCTTGAATGCTTCTCACTAGCCAATCTATCTAAGCCATTTCTTTCCTTTGAACATAAAAGGTAAATCCGCACAAAGGGGCAACATACTTAACAACCTGCCTGCAGTTTACCCATGAACCCGACCTTCTGCTCCTTCTTTGCTGCTCCAGATCCCATCTCTCAATTTCCTTTTCAATCCCGAGACCTAGCACATTGCCTGGAACATATCAGGTATTCTTGAGTGGATGAACTCAAGAATTGAAATAAGCCAGGGTTTGACAGTGGCACACTTGGAATAAAATCTGACAATCATTCCTTGTCTTTACTAAAATAAACAGGTGACAGGAAGACAATACCGTAGAGTGCTTTGCAGCCAGACAGACTTGGCTTCAACTCTCCACTCCCTACTTTTGTGACTCGAATAAAGTATCTCTGTAAACGTTAGTTTTCTCATGTTCAAAATAATCATCCTAGCTTCCAAAGGAATTGCAGGGATTAAAAGAAATAAGGCGTGATGAGGGAGTACAGGTGTTAAAAGCTATGTAACAGGAAATGTACCAGCAGGTATTAGCTTCCATCGTTATTATTAGCGAACACAACACCGCTGTACAGATCCGAAGGCACGAACCTGTAGGCACGGAGCTCACGGAACTGGGGCAAGAGATGGGTGTCCCCCAAGACCGGGCATGCCCTCTAAGATTTCTCCCTGGGGAGCGCCTGATTCTGTTTCCATCCCCAGCAACCTTGCAACTAACTTTGGGTTTATGGAAACCTGTTGCGCGTCCAGCACATGGAAAACCCGTGAATGGACACTAACTTTCCTTTCTTTCGTCAATGACGGCAAGTCCGGCTGAGACGGAATGCGAGCCATGTTCAGGACTGGCGGACGCGACCACAGACGGTTAGTGGTCAAGGGTTCTGCTTGTGCCCAGTACGGCCGATGAGCCGGCAGGCCTGACTCAGGCCCAGGTGACTCGGCACCTCCGCCGCCGTCCCGCGCCGCCCCGCCGGGCCCTAACTCAGGCCCCGGGCCAGACCCCCAGACCCCGCCCGCTGCCCGTCAGCGCTTACCATGATGGACACCACCTCAGAGACTCCGCTTCTCTCAGGCAATATGACGAACGTACCCCGCCGACCGCTCTCCCAGCCTCCGCCGCCTCCGCCGCGCCAAGCCGGTACGCCCCAGAGGCTCACCGGAAGTGCCGGACCCGAGACCCGGAGGGGGGTGCCCGGGACAAAGCGTCGGCTGCAAAAGAGAACAGGCCAGGCGAAGACGCTAGGCTCTAAAACACCTTCAGCAGAAGCATTAAAATGACCTTTCGTGATTTATTTCCCCGTTAGTAGGTACTTTTTAAAAGTTATTTTAAATTACGTTTTGATAGTTTTCAACCCCTCCAGACGAATTTAGTAGGGCCCATTGTCCTTACGACTACACTACCCAGAATGCACTACCCAGAATGCCTCTGCTTCAGCCATCTAGGACTCGGGCGGAACTAAGCTACAAATCCTTCTTCAGACCACACCAAAAACCTATTGCAAACGTAACTGCTGCTCCATTCGGTATGTGACTGAGTTTAATGTATGGCTAGAAGTAGTGTACTTTCTCTGCGGGTTCCCAGTGGGAGGCAGTAGGCTTCTCTTCCCAAAGTAAAGATGTCCGCCGAGCGTCGCGTTTCTGGGTAAAAGCGAGTCAGAGTTGAAAGAGGCAACAGTGCTTGCGTTCGGCCTCAGAGGTGACCCTTCTTTTGGGGCGGGCTGGAGTTTTCTAGCCGTGAATGGCAGAGCGCTAATGGCCGCCTCCAATGGGGTCCAATCAGAAAGAAAGGAAGGCTGGGAACTAAGAGGCTATTGGTTGGTGATTCCTGGACCAATCGGAGGAGCCGTGATTTGGCGGGAGTCTTGACCGCCGCCGGGGCTCTTGGTACCTCAGCGCGAGCGCCAGGCGTACGGCCGCCGTGGCTATGTTCGTGTCCGATTTCCGCAAAGAGTTCTACGAGGTGGTCCAGAGCCAGGTGACGCCCAATCTGGGATCCCCGCCGAGGCCTTGCTGGTGGGGAAGGGATGAGGAGGAGCGGCCGTGGGTGACCGGGAGGCAGGGGAGGGCCGGGGTTCGGGTCGCCGCGTTCAGCCCGTCCGCTCTTTCCCCGATAGAGGGTCCTTCTCTTCGTGGCCTCGGACGTGGATGCTCTGTGTGCGTGCAAGATCCTTCAGGTGAGTTCTGCGGGGCCTGGGAGGGCGGGGCCGGCGCGAGAGGTGAGGGTGCTGCGTGGGGGCGCAGGGCGGGCAGAGAGTCAGGATGGATGCTGAGGGCTTAGCGCGGGAGAGGAAGCCGGGCAGGAGGTGAGCAGCAGGTGAGAGGAGAAGTTGCCTCCCTGTCCCAACGGTGTGGGTTGGGATAGAGGATTAAGTAAAAGGTAAAGAGACTAGTTTGTATTTTTGCAACAAACTATTAATATGAATAGGTGAACAAAGCAGTTGGCGTTTGGGGGAAACTTTGAATCTGTAGTGGCCTCTCAAATGGGGGATTTGAGAGAGAGGAATCTGTGACAACTCTGGGTGCAGTTGTGTCGTAGGTGTTGCTGGGAATATGGGAGCCCCTAGTCTATTAGGGAGGATCGTTAGTTTGGTTTTGAATAGGGCATGGTATGTACATTGTTTTGGTCTGGCCCTTGGATCAGGAACTTTTCAGACGGCCTGGAAGTTAAATCGGCATTTCCCACCGATGTTTTAATTTGGTAATTTGCAAAATTCACAGGATGGTATGGTAAACACTCATATGCCTAGCACCTAGCTTTTCCCGGAAGCATTTCACTAACTTTAGTGTTATCCCGTGTCTTTTATCTCTCAACCCATCTAATCTAACTCGGTTTCTTTTCAAGGTAAATTGCCAATGTCCTAAATAAGATAGGCTTTGAAAACACTCTCTCTCCAGGCCTTGTTCCAGTGTGACCACGTGCAGTATACGCTGGTTCCAGTTTCTGGGTGGCAAGAACTTGAAACTTCATTTCTTGAGCATAAAGAACAGGTATTGAAGATGTATTTTAGAATGACGTGGCTTTTTTACTCAATTGTAATTTCTTGACACAGCATTCTATGACCACAATAGATTCAGTATGTATTTAAGTATCAGCTACATTAGGCAATACGGAAGAGAAAAACATGCTGTATGTACTGGTGACTTACACCCAAGTTGTAGAAGCAAAATTGACAGCAAAAAAAGATAATGAATGTGGATAGCCCCTAACTTTGAACTTGTTTTGCAGAAATTTGATTGTAAGGTGCTTGGAATCTAGCAGTTTTTAATATGGTCTAGTTAAAATCATTTTATTTTATTTTGATTTATTTTATTTATTTTTTACTTACGTGTATA